TCTACGTTAAATATCTGAGTTGGGTTAATGATTATTTTTCTTTTTATAATGGGTTTCCAGTTCAGTTGAAAAAGCTACCAGTGACACTGAAACTACCTGCAATTATAGAGCAATTATAGAGCAAGAATATTGAATTATAGCAATTATAGCATTTATTGAATTTAAGCAATTATAGAGAAAGAAATTATTTGATGATAAAAAAGTGACTTGATTTTTAATCATCTGATTTCTAGATCAAAAGCTCCTATTTCAGTATTGCCTTCGTGCGCTCATCTAAGTATTTTGTTTATTCCACAAGTGACATGGTAGAAAAAATAATCTTTTGAATTATATTATAGTAGCATATGTTCTGACACTTGTAGATTTTATAACTCTCAGTTTTTTTCAAAAATACAGAAAACAATTTGATGGAATTTGGCTATATTCTTTATTTGTTTTCTTTTTCTTCTGATTCATTGACAGGACTTAAAGGAAATCAAAATTTTACATGGTAACAAAGCTAGCTTTGATATCAGAAAAAGAAGGGAAGTGCTTGAATCATTCTGCATTAATTGCTGGTATGCAAAACGCAGGCAAAATAAAGCAGAAATAATATTCCATATGGTTTTTAGCTATTGCTGCTTGCGTAAATGTGTGCTCAAATGGTGCTTATTTTTGTGCCCAGAGACCCTTGAAATTTTGAAATTTCATGGGGGAGGCCCCCCATACCCCCCGCGCCTAACGTCGCTCACTGTGGGGTGGTGTGCCCTTTTTGTGGGATGTGCCCTTAAAATCTGGAAAAATACTGTCTACCTGGATCCGCCATCCGCCGGTTACCGGATTATTGTCCGGTATAACGTCAAAACTTGGCCGCGCACACACGTGCAGTTGAGGTAATGATTTAACGAAAGGCGTACGTACCCCGCGGCAATAAGTGGTAAATAATAACTCCCACTCGAATGAGTTCCATTCGTTTTTATACATAAGTTTGGTAGACTTCTCGGGCGTTTAAAAAGGGGTTAAACCGTGTGTGTGTGTGTGTGTGTGTGTGTGTGTGTGTGTGTGTGTGTGTGTGTGTGTGTGTGTGTGTGTGTGTGTGTGAATAAACTTACCGATGCTGTGGTATGTGTTGCGCGATCCGCTGTTCAGTCCGCCGGAGTCGGAGTCGCTATGGTAACCGGACACACTGTCGTCACACACCTCGCACAGCAGCAGCAGTATGCGGTCGAAGCCGCGCGCGTACTGCATCAGTATCGGCGCCACGATCGTGTTGTGACTCAGATGACCGGCCTCCTTGCGCATCTGCGAGAACTGGTAGATCGCCTCCTTGTCGGTCTCGATGCGTTCCTTGAGCGTGTTGAGCAGCGCAGGAAGCTTGCTGCCGTACAGCACCGGCTCCACGGTCGTCCACACGATCTTGTTCTTAGTGAGTCGCTCCGTAATCTCGCCGTGAGTGAGATTGAGTAGTCGCTGGTGGCTCGCTTCGACTGGTGGCGTTCCCTTGCCGATCGATCGCGTCTTCATCTTCGCCTTGGTCAGCTCGAGGTCGCCCAACTTCTCGAGAACGTCTCTGTAGTTCCTGATGGCGTTCGTGAACTCCACCTTGAGCGCGTCGTGTAGATTTAGCAGGTTCTGATCGGGCGTGATCACCATGCCGTGCATTCCCAGCCCCTCGAGCGCCTTATCCAACGCCCTCTTCCTCCTCTTCAACATCTTCGGCAGCTTCGGATCGACCTGTGCAATAATACGCAGCACGTTCTTGCATGCGGCGACGTCGGACGTTGTCCACTTTGCGTTGTGCTGTCCCGCGGAAGGTTCGTCCGAGTGGGCGAAGAGGCGTATCAGCTGCATGATGACCGACTCTGGCTGCATGAGGTTGAAGGGGAATCGCTGCACGCCAGCGCTGAGAAACACGCGCGTGTAGACGGCGTCTATGATGGGCAGCGTACGAGGAACGCCGTCAATGAAGAGAGCGATCGGCAGCTCTGTGGCGATGGCTTTCAGGGTCTGGTCGGTGATGGCGCGTATGATGTGCGCGACCTCGTCGTGACGATGATACTCGAACAGTACGAGAATCTTTCTGATCACCAGCGCCGGGTTCATCTCGCACGGTCGCCAGTTGTACTGCGGCGCCACGTCGTCGGTCGGCATCGTCGGCGGCGTCGTCATCGTCGGCGGCGGCATCCCGTACATCGACGACTCGACGAAGGCTTTTGTGAGCGGCGATTTCCTCCAGGAGAGCTTCTGGAAGGGGATGGGCTGACGGGATCGCCGCGTCTGTACGGCTCTCACTCTGAGAGCTTGCTCCATCGTAGAGAGAGAGAGAGAGAGAGAGGAAGAATCCAGGAGCTGAAAACGCACGAGGTCGTATATATATTATAATGGTCTCACACGCACGAATATTACACTATACACACAGTAGGGTACACGACGTTATGATCTTAACAGAAGATTAATCTATCGTTCAGAAGAAAATCCGAGCCGAAAATGCACAGGTTCATATATTATTATAATCTAATATACGCGAAAATGTTAACTACTGTTACGACGTCCGCGCAGTACATTAAACACTCAGAATTGTACGGATGTTACGTTACAGATGATATCAGATCTTATCAGTAATGCAAAATAAACGGGTTATTGTGTGCTGCCGATCTCACGCGCACGAGCATTGATCACGTAAGGTCCCTAGGATCGAAGTTCCATTTAACTGCAAAACTGTTGTCACGAGCTACGGTTGCTGTACGGATTCTTATATGACGTTTACAGACTAATGAATTTACAGATGCAAATACGTGTGCGGTGGGCGGCTGGTAAAGTTACGGTAAACCACCACCTAGTATAGAAAAGTCATGTGTGTATAGGTAGCGCACGCAGACACATACTCCTACCCATAACCATTCTCGTACCATAACATGGAAACGTACACACATTACACAATTACAATATACATACACACACAATTATATATTACGCTCTCTTTATACGTTCCTTATATAACAACATTTTACGATAATGAGCATTCTACCAAACTACGTTCACTAACCTGCTGCTCAAATCATCGGTCTGCTCAAATCATCAACAATGAAAACAATAAAGAGTCGTGGAGTGTCGCAGAGTCGCCTTCACACACTGCGCACGCTCTGCTCCATCTTCGCTGAGTGAAGGAAATCCCACCTCCACGCTGGGCCTGTGTTCCGTGGAGCGCTGTCTAGGAATCAGTGAAGCATGTCCCGCAACTCCCACCAAGAACGCCCCGAGGGCAGGCTACGAAAACACTGTGTGTATGTGTGTGTTTGTGTGTGTGTGTATGTGTGTGTGTGTGTGTGTGTGTGTGCGTGCGTGCGTGCGTGCGTGCGTGTGTGTGCGTGCGTGCGTGTATGTGCGTGCGTGCGTGTGCGTGTGTACGTGTGTGTGCGTATGCGTGTGTGCGTGTGTGTGTGAGCGTGTGTGCGTGTGCATATACGTTCGTATATATGTGCGTGTGTGTGTGTGCGTGCGTGCGTACAGGATGCATGCGTGTGTGCGTGCGTGTTTACGGGTGTGACGTGGCAATTTCAGACGTACGGCGGATGACGTGACGTAGTTATAGGCGTCATCCGTAAACGTACGTCATCCGTCCATTTTTCTTCTCCCCCCCCCCTCTCCTCTCCGTCACGTCCCACACGACATAATAGCGCTGTGTGTATCGTTACGCACGTCAATCCGTCTGACATTTGTCAAATTTGTCATGGAAGACGCGTCGCGAGATAATGCACGCGCTCTATCCGAAACACACCGACATCCCACACTCTAAATATTACATATACAAGCAGGGTGCACGTTTGCAACCATGACAGAGGGTAGATCATTGAAATACGAATTAGGTCAAACAGTGCTATACGTGTAACGAACGCGCGCGCCGCACGCATAAAACTGAAACACGGAATAATAATGTAAAATAAATATAGACGAAAATGTGATTGAACACGGAATAATAAGGTTCTCTGTGTCAACACAGTCGAACAAACACACGACGATATTTTAATCCGACGGGCGCTCTGCCACACAGTTATTAATAATATTTTATATTGCGATCCAAATTATTTTATATATCCCTGCTCCATCGCACACCCGCGCGCGCAAAATGGTGATTGACTGTAGCTGATTGACTGTAGGTGATTGACTGTAGAGGATTTACTGTAGGTGATTGACTGTAGATGATTGACTGTAGGTGATTTACTGTAGATGATAGACTGTAGATGATTGACTGCAGATGATTGACTGTAGGTGATTGACTGTAGGTGATTGACTGTAGGTGATTTACTGTAGGTGATTGACTGTAGATGACTGACTGTAGATGATTGACTGCAGATGATTGACTGTAGGTGATTGACTGTAGGTGATTGACTGTAGGTGATTGACTGTAGGTGATTGACTGTAGCTGATTGACTGTAGATGATTGACTGTAGGTGATTGACTGTAGATGATTTATTGTAGGTGATTGACTGTAGATGATTGACTGTAGATGATTTACTGTAGATGATAGACTGTAGATGATTGACTGCAGATGATTGACTGTAGGTGATTGACTGTAAGCGATTGACTGTAGGTGATTGACTGTAGGTGATTGACTGTAGGTGATTGACTGTAGATGATAGACTATAGATGATTGACTGCAGATGATTGACTGTAGGTGATTGACTGTAGGTGATTGACTGTAGGTTATTGACTGTAGGTGATTGACTGTAGTTGATTGACTGTAGGTGATTGACTGTAGGTGATTGACTGCAGATGATTTTCTGTAGATGATTGACTGTAGGTGATTGACTGTAGGTGATTGACTGTAGATGATTGACTGTAGATGAGTGACTGTAGGTGATTAACTGTAGCTGATTGACTGTAGGTGATTGACTGTAGATGATTGACTGTAGATGATTTACTGTAGTGTGGTTTACTGTAGTGTGGTTTACTGTAGTGTGGTTTACTGTAGTGTGGTTTACTGTAGTGTGGTTTACTGTAGACGATTGACTGTAGATGAT